TGAAGTCGTTTGTGGGCGGCTTGGCGGGCTATCCGGTGGGCAGCTGCTTCAGCTTTCTGCCTCTCACGATCTAGTTTTGCCTGTGCCCGCGCCCGTCGCCGTGCATCTAGTTCTTGAGCTTTGAGTAGCTTTCTCTCCTCTCTAGCTTCGATTGTGATAGCTTTTTGGCGCTGTAACTCCTCGTGATCGCGCTGTTTCTGCTTATATTGGCGGCGAGCTTCTCGCACCTTCCGTGGAGACCAGAAAGTAGCTCCACCATGATAATCGTCGGACAGCTCGAGCGTACCAGGCTGGATACGCTCCTTGCGCTGCCTCTCATCGATGAGAGGTGCCCGGAGCTGCTCGTTTTCTCGTTGAAGAAACGCTGTATCGGCGGATAGTTTCATTATGATTCTATTGAGTGCTGAGATCGATCTATTATTCGTAGATTGATTGAGTAGCTGCCGAATCATTCTCCAATTAGAAGTTAATGCTGCTAGTGCGTCTCTATCGTTATTAGTAGCTGTAGTTTTGAACTTTTGGAGTATAATTTCTGGATTGAATGGTAAGAGTCTAGTAGCTCTAAAAGCATGGAGAATTGATGATTCCTTGAACGCTGCGCACCAAGCTCTCCAAAATATTGGGAAGAAATGAGATTTGGTGAATGGTATCAGCCCTTGGCTAGTATCGGCGAAGTTTGATAGCTCGTTCGAGTATGCGGTGGATAGTGGCTTAAATAATCCAATATCGAGCGGCTGCAGCGTATGCGTTGAGTGCGGCGGGAAGATAGCTAATAGTATTTTATTCTGGTCACAATAGTCAATGAAATCCATCGTTATATGACTATGGTGCCCATCCATGNTGAGTAATCGGTAAGAAGATCGAGCTTTTGGCTTAGTGGCTGGATCGAACACTTGTTTGAGCCATTGGAGACCGATATTATCGTTCGACCAGCCAGTGGCTGATGCGGTGAAATACACAGTATGTATATCGGGATCAAAACCTTGGAGCCATGAGTTCTGGATAGAGCTAGATTTGCTAGAGTAGATGATGCTTGGATCTAGATACGATCCATTCGCGATTACCATCTTGGATATTTGATCTTTTCAATTTGGACTTAAGAGCAGCTTTAGAAAAGATTCTGACTGAGCGGGACTGTACTCCAATCATAAAGCCCTTCTCATCCATGTTATATATATGTCGCGGCTCTACTTTATATTGATCGATTTTTTGGCGTAGAAGCTCGAAGTAGAGCTGGTATTTCTTTTCTAAACCAGCTCGGCGCCGGCTACGATCGATTGGCGTGGTGCGCTTGAGTATAACGAGATGCGAGTTNCGATGAACAAAGCGATCAACCCAGTGATATCCGAGCTGCTTCTGAGCTAGCTGTGATGCGATATTTCGAATGATACTCCGTGTGGGTGCTAGGCCTCGCTTAATGAGTCTATCGATATAGTCGATAAGCTCAGCTTCATGTTGTGGGTGGACTGCCTGCTGGTTTTGTGCAGCTGCTTGTCT